CTCTCTTCTCTTTATGACGATTTATCTCCAACTGCGGACACTCTTTACGCATTTCCGCCGTATACCATTTATCCATATGCTTTAGCCAACTATTCATTTCGAGTTGTTTGGGATTACATAAACGTCGCTTGATGGCTTTCTGGTACCTCTTTGCATTTCTATTCGCGTTCATCACGAGTAAATCCGTTATACAGATATCACTTTCGGCTGTGTAATTTTGTAACGGTATCTGGCCATTATTGAGCGAGGAGTACATGACATTCAAGGAAGCGATTGCTTGTTTCAACGTTTTAGTTGTAGGCGCAGCTATTGTTGTTGTCGTGCTTGGTAATGTTGTTGTTGCTGCGTTTGGACATTCTTCATTTTCTTGTAAACATTCATCGGATGTTTGCAGTTTGTTGTAACGTCTGTGGAATTGATAATCATCGGCGAACGTGCTGTTACAAAACGGATAGCAGCCATACGAGTACGACGTTTGACGATTTTCATCGTAAGTTGGTTGGTGATTTTGTTCGTAATATATATTAAACATTGTTGTAAAAACGATTTACTCTTAATTTTATTTCGATTTTTTTTTTGCCAAAAACAATGCTTCTAATTTAGTTCAAACACATTCGAAATGGAAATGTAAAGAAAAGAAAATAAGTTTGTAAAAATATAAAAAATATAAAAAAAAATAAAAAAAAAATTAAATAAAATTGTATGTCAAAGAAAATGTAATTGGAAAATGGAAAATGGGTGAAAAAATAAAGTAAAGCACAGAATTTTTTAATCAAAACAATAATAAATAGGCTTATAAGAAACTTTTCGATATTAGGGAGGGACGAAAAATCATCTTTCAGTCAACTAAAGAAGAAGAAGCATGAGTTTTTAACAAAAAATATTGTTTGGGGTTTCGTTATAGATCAAGCAGCTCCATTTTAAAAATTCTCTGTTCACCAATTTCTTAAAAGTTTTGCATTTTTTGATAAATTTGTTTAATAAACTTTTAGCAAAATTATAAAAAAGATAAATAAATGAATTAAAATAGCCAATTTTAATAATCTAAAAACCAATATTTTTGCTATGGTCGAATTTAAAAACTTTATTTTAATAAAAAAAATGTTGAGAAAATTCAAAGTTTCTATCAAACTAAAAACGATTTAGAGCTTCCCTTATTTTTACTATTTTTTGATAACAGTTTATCGTTTTTTTTTTAGCTGTAATCGATTCTTCTGTTATGTTTGAGTCATTTGCCTTAAATTTCTGGATTTTTAGTAGTTCTAGAAATTTTTCGATAACATTTAATCGATGATATAATCGGTTATCGACTTTTATCATATATTTCGAAATTTTTTACTTAGATTTCTTACATGCATTTTTCATTTTTCGTGCTTTAAAGAATTTTTCGTTGACAGTTTATCGATTTTTTATTGTTATAATCGGAGTTTTAAAATAATTATTAATGATTATCGATTTTTTTTGTTGCTATAAGCACCATTAAACTTTGTCTCCGACTAAAGTTTAGCGGTTTTTTTTTGTATATTTTTTTATCTATGACCGATTATGGCAGTGGTTTGAATATTTTTTAATTTCGATAGCAGTTTATTATGTTATTTCTTCAATCGGCTTAATATTTTTTGATCTTTGAGAGTTAAATAAAAATAATATTAAAATTTATTGATTTTTTAATGGACATTTTTAGAGCTTTTCGACTGCAGCTTATCGATTTTTGTTTGCTATAATCGGCTTTCAATTTGTCCTTTATTCGAAAACATTATGCAAACTAATCCTAGTTTTTTTTATTTTATTTTAAATTCAACCATTATTCGTTTTCTATTCGAACATATTTTGCGTTATTTATATATTTTATTTATTCCGAGCTAATTTAAAACTTTTAAATTATTATATTTTTGACGGAAGAGATTATTAGTGGAATAAAATTGTATTTTCGATAAAAACAAAATCAACGCAATTCGCTTTTAAGCATCAGGCTCAAACTAGTTAAATACTAGTTCGTTTCATGCATGCTCACTCACTGGCGACACGTACGTAATAAGGACAACACTACAGACATGAGATCCAGAGGATATAAAAGCCACACAGTTTCCTTTTTTCCGGTGGGATGGCTGTAAATGGCTTGAAAACCAATTTTTCTTGATCCAAGAAACTAGACGAGTGCTAAGACTTCATACAGTTGAAGAAAACCTCCTCTCTCTACCTTTTCCAAGCCTTTAGGGTGAGGTCATTTACCTTCAGTTATTTTTTAAATAATGTTGCGGCATTTAACAGGTAATTTAGCAGATGAAACTAACTAAGAGTGTCACTTAATACAACTTGATTTATTTAGTTTGAATAATACAACTTGAATTAAGTGGAAATAAAAATTCAAAAATATACAATTCGTGTTATATCTAGAAGACAGATTAAAAAAAGTTACAAATTAATTTGAAGACAATGAAGACAACCAGTCTTCGGACAGAATGTTGGATATAATCTGACTTTCTTCCACACTTTTTTCTCCTTCTACAACATCAACGCGTTTTGTGTTTGCCCCCATGCAGTTTTCTCATTTTAAATTCATGCGCCAACTCAGTGACCGCATTGTTCAATTCCTTGTTGGACTTCACTTGTTCATCCGAAATCGGCTTGCCTTCAATCACATTCGTTATTATATCCATAGTCCATGGTGAGTATTCGTTTTTATCTGGTTTTTTGGCCTTCTTTTGCATTGATTTTGGCACATCTTCCAAGGGATCATAATTACGCCACGTCCATATCATGTCTCTATCGAATGGTGAATGAAAAAGTATGGGACGATCGGGTTTAGATTTAATTTCTTTAAGAAAATTACGTATATCCTCCAGTGCTACCTTTTCAGCATCTTCGGCTGGCTCTTCAGCAACATCCGTTTCAGAGCTTACACTTGGTACGGGTTCATCTTCATCGCTTGCCGTTGGCAGGTTCAAAGACCAATGATAGCTAGAATGAGCCGGTAATGTGCTCCTGCGTAACGGCTGTGATTTACGTTTACGCGTCTTCGACTCACGTGCAGTGTTTAGCGTTTCACGTTTACCACGCTCACGCTGTGTTACCTGCTTCATTTCACGCGCATACCAATTCGTTAAGTCGCATTTGAAATCGTTTAACTGACGTTTTTGTGTTGAGCTCGTACTACTTGCTGTTTCGGAACCGTTGAGTTCGTGTAGTAAACGTTTCGCGATCTCATCACGCACAACTGTTATGCCTTCCGGAACGTGTAGCTCATGCCGACTGTCACATACCGCTGCTGTTATTGGTACCGCGGTAACAGACTTTCCTGGCGGTGGCGTACATTCGGCGTCAAAGGCTGCTTCGGCTGTTGTCGGTGACGATGGGAACAACAATTGCTGTATAGTACGCCCACGCATGCCAGCCACGGGACAGAGTGTATGCAGGAGATCATTCTTTTTACAACGAGTCTGCTCACAACAGCTACATTTACTGTAATATTCGGTTTCTGGTCGCCAGTGATGAATTAAATGCACAAATCGTTGGCAATCGTAGAGGCGACCTGAAGAGTTGTTGCATTGCCTTGTCATGGGCGTAGTGCAAGAGAAATTTTTCGCACAATTATAACACGAACTGCACATTTTTGGAATTTTTTTTTAAATACTTTTAAGTTTTGAAATTTTTTTTCCGAAAATTTTACGATTTAAATGCATCAAAAATACACAAATGAACGAACGAAATTTTGAAAATTTACAAAATACATTTTTTTTTGCAACTGATTCTATGTTGGGAAATTTTCCAGTTTTTGGCGTTACCACCTTTAAAAAAAATTGAAAAAAATGTTAGTTTATTGTCATTTTGAAGTTTTCGAATTAAAAAAATATTTAGCGAGCGTTAACCAATGGTTAAATGAAAGATAACACAAATTGTACAATTTTGTTTTATGATATTATTCTGAACTTTTAACGAAGTTTAAACATTTTTTAATTTAAAAAACCAAAGTCTCTCATTTTTCTCCTTTGAAAAAAAGTTTTAGTGTTAAAGTGTAACGTTCTCATATCAAAACATAAAGTTCGCGAGGTAAAATAAAGTTCACGTCTCATAAAAGGTATAAACATTTGTTCGAGCAAAAGATTTTGCAGTTTATAGATAGTTATCATGTAAAAACATACATTTCAGAAGTTAAAACAAACGTTCTGAGCTAAAATGTAAAGTTTTCAAACTGACATAAAAACTTGACAAGGTAAAACGAAACGTTCCTAAGTTATAAATATAGAATTTAAGTGAAATCATATACAAAAGTTAAGCAAAAACTCTAGATACAAACGTTTATGAACGCAAAACCAAATCACACGAAATAAAACTTAAAATTTGGAAGTTAAAGTGTAATAGTTTCAAGTCAGAACATAAAGTTCGTGTATTAAAATAAAGTTTAGAAGTAAGTGGAAAAAAAATTAATTTACATTGTGAGTTTAAACGTATTGTTCGCAAACTAAACCATTAAATCGGAAATAAAAATCAAAACCTTAAACAATATCAAAAAGAAACTTTTACGAAAACATACTGTTCCCCAGCTAAAATATAAAGTTCCAAGACTGAAACGGAAAGTTTACGAGTTGAATCTTGAATTTATAACTTCGTACTTGAATCTATGGAGTTTCTAAATTAAGAGATAAAGTCTAGGATTTCAGATTTAAACTGTGGAAATTAAACAGAGTATGCGTGTTAAAGCATAAAGTTCGCGAGATGAAACATATTGTTCACAGATTAGATCATAACTTTGTGAGTTAAAACTTGAAATAACCGCGCTGAAACACAAAATTTGAGAACTAAAATACAGTTTAGGAGCTTAAACATAACGTTCAAGAGTTGAAACGAAAAGTTCACAAGTTGAATAAAACTTCATGGGGTAAAAAATTACAACCACCTGCTAAAACAAAACAAAAATTGCAAATTAAAATCTTATTTAATAATTAATTAATTAATTAATAATTAATTTACAGTCTAAGCAATAAATACGTAAGCTAAAACGAAAGTTCTTGACTTAAACCGCTAAATTTACGAGTTTAAACACAAAATTTGAGAGCCAAAATAAAGTTCACAAGTTAAAACATAACGTTCTGCGTGAGAACAAAACTTAATGTTTTAAAACCTTGAAACAAAAATTAATTTTTTTTAGAAAAACTATAGTAATTTATTTGCGGCCAACCGCTATAAACTATAGTCGAATACAGTAGTGGTTTTTCTATGAAAAATGAAACCGTTAATAAAGTACAAAAATCATTTTAAAACAAGTAAAAAAAAATATGTAGTTTTGTATCAAATTTTTCCCTTTTATTACAAAACCACATATTTTTTAGAGGCTGTAGAGAATTTTTAGGTATTGAAAGAGTTTAAAAATTTCGCACAATAACAATTTCGACTCATACGCTCACATGCGACGCTGTCAGTTGCCTTTAATTAGAAAACATCTGGATCTGCTACTACACAAGGCCATCATGTGATTGGAGGGCGTACGTTTCTTGCCGAACAAAGCCAAGATTGGTTTGGAGATACGCACGGCGGGCTTTTTAACTATCTTACGCCTATGACGAAAGTGAAGATCATCACTAACGCTGCTAGCACCACAAACTGTGGCGGGTTTAAGGGAACTTTTGGCAAGACGCATTAGTGGTGTTATCTTTTCAGTGGGTGTATACTTTGTTGGTGGTTTGGCGGGTCGTGTTCGGTTTATGTTTGCGCCATATCTGTGCGAAGTATCGCCCGAACCACTACCACGCCGACCGTATGCGCAGATATCGCCACCCAGCCGTTGTGTAGGTGGCTTAGCAAGTTTAGGGCACTGTTTTTCCATTTTCGGGCTATGAGCCCCTTCTACGTCGACGATATGCGCTGAACGCCTTTTGTTGCGTTTCTCGATTTCTAAACGCAAGCCTTTGATTATGGAGTGAGTCTCAAGCGTTTTACTGGGTTTGTTTGAATTCTTCGTTCGTTTAATTCTACTATGCACACTAATATCATCAGCATTTGTGCTGGTGACACCAGTTGAGTCGATTTGTGGACTGTTCCGGCTTGTGACGATACATTGATTTGAGTTCGAGGTTCGGCCGGTCTCTAAACTAGTGTGGGTTTCTATACTTTCGCTCGTTTCTATTCTTTTACGGTTGCCGCTGGTCTTACTATTGTCGGCGGTCTTGCTGCTGGCACCGGTCTTGTTGATTTCACTAGACCCTCCACTTTTTCTACCCGTTTTGCTGATCCCACCTGATCCACTCGTCTTACTAGTTTCACTGTCCCTGCTGAGGTGCGCGTTTTTAGTACTTCTGACCGACTTGTAGCTTCCACTTGTCTTGCTGGTGCCGCTCGTTTTACCTGCTCTGCTGCGCTTACTGCTAGAACCTGTCTTATCGCTTTCGCTTGTTTTATTGCTGCCACTTGACTTACTGCTCTCTGCAGACCTGCTACTCTCCGTAACATTACTACTCTTCGTGGCTCTGCTACTCTCCGCCGTTCTGCTGCTCTTCGTGGCTCTGCTACTCTCCGTCGTTCTGCTGCTCTTTGTGGCTCTGCTACTCTCCGTCGTTCTACTACTATTCGTATCCTTGCTGCTATCGGTTGTTTTGCTAGTTTTGCTCGCCTTACTACGCTTACTTGAGTCGCTCTTATCAGTTTGGCTCGTGCTTTTGCTAGACTTACTACTATCGCTCATCTTGCCGCTCTTACTGGTATCGCTGGACTTTACAAATTTGCTCTTCTTAATCAACTTGCTACACTTTTTCCGCTCATTTACAGTTACTTTACCCGTGTCGGTATAGCCGCAGCTATCACTCGTGCTATTACACGCAATAGGTATGTCATAGCGATAGCGATTTCGGCTTTCTCTACGCTTGTATACCTTCGGCTTCAACTTCCTTGCAGAGCCGCGTTTCTTAGCATACGCCAACCGACAGAGACTGACGCTCATTTGCTTCAGACGCGATTGACTGACGCTCAGATTGCGTAACTGTTTCTCAATTGTATAATAGAGCTCACTGGTGTCCATCAAATCGCTAGTTTTGCTACGCTTTTTGCGTTTACCCGAAGAGCTGGCGTCGCTAACGGGATGAGACTGCGCGGCATGTTTACTGTTATAATGGAAAGTGGGCTTGCACTCCCTACGCCGTCTACCACTACAGTTCGTTCTGCATACGCTATAAGCTGGCACTTTGTATTTAATTTTCAACTGTTCCAGCTTCGACAAGTCCAGCACTTGACTCGAACCTGCGGCACAGCGCCTATTATACCATTTGTTGAGACTATGTAGTAGACCTTTGTAGGCCGACTCGTCGCGCTCGCCCTCCCTGTGTGACATGATGCCATGCAGCTTGTCTTCTGTGTTGCTCTCGCTCTTTTTACAAAGGCCAAAGAATGGACAGCGCGTATTGCAATTCTTCTGTGCACAAAAACAAAATGCTTGCTTCGAAGGCGGTTTCTTCTGTCCCAAAGGCTTGTGTTTGACGCGCACCTCTTGCGGCCAACGATTGAAGATCTTCCATGCTGCGTCATAGGAGAGAGGTATGCCGAGGTCCTCTTCAATGTCAACGCCTTGTAGCAGGGGCGTTAACTTCATGTTAGATTTGGGAGAGTGCGAGGTGCTAGAGACAACTTTTACACGTAAAATGTAATTTAAAACACACAAATTAAATAATTTTTGTTTTACTAAAAAGCGAAACAAACAATTTTTTCTCAAATGAATAAGACGCCAAAAAAATATTTATTTTTGGTTTCAATTAATTCTTTTTTTATTATTCAAAAATTTTTGACATAAAAAAATCAGTCAAAAAATTTTTTTTTTTAATTTTGTTTACACGCATTGCAAGTGTAGAGTTCATATAAAAAGTGTTGGGTTTTTGTAAAAGTGAAAATGGGTATACTGGGAACACTTTTGGCGTAAGAGAACAGATGGTATTTTCAAGAACTACGTGAGATGAGCGGCTCTTTCAAACGTTTCGGAACAGTCGTAAGAGATTTAGATAGAAATATGTTGAAGAAAATAAAAAAATTAAAAAAAAAAAATTAAAAAAAAATAAATAAAAAAAAAATAAATAAAAAAATATAAATAAAAAAAAAATAAATAAAAAAAATAAATAAAAAAATATAAATAAAAAAAAAATAAATAAAAAAAATAAATAAATAAAAAAAAATAAATAAATAAAAAAAAAATAAAAAATAAAAAAAAAATAAATAAAAAATAAAAAAGAAAATTTACAAATATAAAAAAATAAAACGAAAAGATAAAACGATTTAAAAAAAAAATTAAAAAAAATATTTAAAAGAAAGAAAAATGAAAATAATAAAAAAGAAAAAAATATATTGATTGAAAACATGTGAAAAAATTAAAAAAAAAACTTCAAAAAATAAAAAAGCTTAAAAAAATATATACACCGTCAAAATTTGATAAAAAAAAAATAAATAAAAGATTTATAAAGTTAATAAAAAATATTAAAACAAAAATTACTAAAATATATATTTAAAAAAAATAATAATTAACAAAAATACTAAAAATTATTAAAAAGCAAAATTATAAATTTCAAACACCGTTATATTCAAACAATTACTAATTACCATAAAACTGTACACAAAAAGTGGGCGGTACTAAAAAGTAGAAATTGCCAGACATTGAAACCAATGCCACTCACTCAAAGTTTAATTTAATTGATAAAGCCAGGAAACAGAAATCACGAGCCGTAAGCAAAACATAAACAAACAGACGCAGACTAAGTTTATGGTAATTATGCATAAAACGAAATTGATACAATTAAAAAAAAAAAAAACAACAAGGAAAACAATCAAGAGCAAACAAAAAGTGGTTGAAAGCAGTAAAAAGGGGTAAGTATTCACGTAGATAGAAGTATGGGCAATAAAGGAAAATATACAGTAAATTATTAGTGCAGAGAATGTCAAAATAGTGAATTCAAAATAAAAAAAAAATTGAGTAAAAGAGTGTCAAAGCAGATAAGCGAAAAAAATATATAATATGATTTTTAGTATAATTTTTTTTTTTTTTTTTTTTTGAACTGAAAATTGGCAACCTTGCATTAAAAATCAAAAAGATCGAATTTGAAAGTAAATCACAAATTGTCGACGGAAGGACAACAATAACCGCGCTATTATGATAAATACAAACATAACAGTAAATGTAGTAGGGGATAATTTCTATTGTGGAAAATTGGCAACGTTGCACCAAATATCAAAAAATTTAAATTTTAATCAAATTAAATAATGGAATATTAAATATAGAGTAAAATATGGCTTTGAATGCGATTTTTGAGCGAAAAATGGGCAACGTAGCAACAAATGTCAAAAATAAAGAATTTCAAAAATAGGAAAGAAATTAACTAGGCGTATAAATGTATCATAAAATACGACTTTTTTTTAACTTTCTAGTAGGAAAAATTAACAACGTTGCAACAAATATTAAAAAGATCCAATTTTAATAACATTAAATAAATGAACATTTTCTAAGGAGGAAAAATGACAACGTTGCAACGGCTTTCAAAAAAAAAAAGTTTGGTAAAACATGATTTAATATAAAATTTCTCGGCAGAAAAATTGGCAACACTGCAACATTGTCCAAAAGAAGCGAGTTTACAATATGTAGACAGAGCTACGAAGCTGACTTGAGAAAAATTAAACCAGACTTTCTAATGTTTGGTTGGAAAACTGGCAACATTGTCCACACGAATTCCGGAAAGAATGGATTTTAAATGAAAAACAAAGCGTAAGGTATGTAGTTTCCCATTAAAAATACGATAAATAAATTTCTAATCAAGAAAAATGGCAACATAGTCAAAATATAGGCAATAAATTCTGCCAAATGAACATTGGAGACGCTGTCACAGAAGCCGAAAAATCTGCATAACCAAAAAATGGTTTCATAAAAAAGTTCCAAAAGCAACAAATTTTGCATTTCGGAAAAAAATTGCCAACTAAGAACTTCGCTTTAAATAAAATTGGCACCATAGACTTAAAATGGTGTGATTTAAAAATGGAACGCATGTGAATTTTGATAGCAGTAGTCGTAAAGTTTCTACCCAAGGCCATGTTGAAGAAGAAAATTGGCAACATAGCACTAAAATATTTACTTTATAGTGTGATGGAAATTTTCATAAGAAAGTAAAGACAATTTTTACCGTAGACTGACAGTTTAACTAATTTAACTGAATTTGACCTTGGAAAATTAAAAATATTCAAATATGAAAAATTCACTAATCTTAAGTAACTTAAATTTTTCAAGTGAAAAATTATAAAAAAAAAAGAAGTAAAGTTTTAATATAGATTTTAGCATGCAATAATCATGCATTCTTTGGGAAATACCAATAACAGCTGTGAAGAAAATTGATAACGATGCAAAAAATTTGTGACAAACCAATGAGATATTCAAAAAAGAAAAGAATTCTGTCATGTGGTATGCTTATCACAAGAGATAATTTCTTCGAGGAAAAATTGGCAACATTGAAAAATATTAGCAACTGCGTGGAAAATCATGCGGAAGATTTTAGGTACACAAAAACTTCGCAAGACACCGTGTATAATTGGGAAAAAAAAATTGTGTGCAAGAAAATTGGCAACATTGCTGTGGCATGCATGAAGAAAATTGGCAACATGTTAAAACTATGTAGGTGAAACAATTAGGGAGATTTTGTTAAATGAAATAAGTTCGCCTTGCTGCAAGAATATTACCAGAGCGATCTTTTTCAGTATGAAAATTGGCAACAATGCTGGGAATTTAGGCAGTATGGCTGTGTATATACGTAGATTGCAAAGCAGAACATGATGTATATCTCTGATTAGTTATTATTAAAAAAAATAAATAAACTTTTGAAATAAAAAATAGATAAATTGAAAAAAAAAATTTAAATAAAAAATAGATAATTTTAAAAAAAAAATAAATAATATATAAATAAATTGTTTAATTAGGGAAAAAAATTTTCTTTTATTAATAATATAATATGTATACTGATTTGACAAATTCCAAAACTCTGTAAAAAAAGTTGTGATTAAAATAAATAAAATAATAAATATATGAATTTATTATTTTAATATTTACATAACGGAAACCATGTAATACCCAGAATCAATTTATTTATTTAACTATTAGTTTCCAACCATATTAAAATACCGCCAATTGAACCGTTGAATGCATACATACATACATACATAGATGAAAAAATTCGCTTCTCACTACATTTTGTACAGTGAAATTGACACTAATAAAGCAAAAACAACACAGTTGCGCGCAAAAAATTATGTAATTTCTGTTTTCACTGCAAACAAATACAAATTACTGATATTGCACTACATAAATATATCATACATATGTACATATATACTTGCATACATATTTCTATTCAAGTGAATTTATGCAATATTCTACTAACTGCAACAAGAACAACAACAACAACAAGCAATTATTTGCAGCCGCCAGTCAGTTACTAAGCGCTTTTGCAATAATATGCGGTTGAGCAACAGCTAGACAAAAAACAACAACAAGAAAAATAGAAAAAAAAAATATAAAATGCTTAACAATTTGAGAAAAAAATAATAATAACAGCAATAAAATGCTCAATTCTCTATTTCCTCTGCCACTTAGCTACAATATATAATATTTTTATATTTGCATGTTTGTACATATATATATATATATATATCGGTATGTCATTATGAATAATTCCCCACATTGTGGCCATACGCAGCAGCCGTCCGAGCGCCTGTTTCTTTCTATCCACTTGAGGCATCCCGAGTAGCGCATTTACTATAGTTGATGCCATCAACAACAACGACAATAATAATAACAACAAGACTAGAATTATACTAGCAAAAAAAAAAAAAAAAAAATTAGTGGATTGTCAACGCTTTCGTAAATTGTAGGCCTCAAAAATCGCACGGCAGGGGCAATCAATATGGGCTGGACAACCACTTGGTGACAGACAGACAAGCTACATACTTGTATTTGTTGTGAGAGCGCAGGCCGGCAGCAACTGTGCGGTTACACTGTTTGTAATTTGAGTTGCTTTAATAGAAAAATCGTCGATTTTTTTAGTTATCTCCACAGCACATCAGTATTCATAGGCTTAGATGAATTTTTTTTATTTTGCTTCAAGCGTTTTTCAACGGGTGCTTAATTTCGCTCGGCGTTTGAAATTGAAATTGAACAGAGTTATTGGCGTGACGATTAGTGGGAAAGGAGAAGAAAAAAGGCAAAATTTATATGAAATTCATTTCTACTTCAATTGAGTGAATCCGTTATAATCTATCAGTTAACACTAAAAAATGTTTAGGAGGAATGTGAGCCAAAAGAGAAGTAAAAACGATTAACTCAATGTGTGTTTAAATAATTTATTTCATATATTTTACTTTATTTTAATATTTTTATGTTAGTTTATTATTTTTATTCATTTATTTTGTTAATTTTTTGATTCATTATTATTTCTTTTATTTAATTTAATTTTAATTGTTCTTAATTTTATTTCATTTCATTTCATTTCAGTTCATTTTATTATATTTAANATTTTATTTAATTTTATTTAATTTTATTTAATTTTATTTTATTTAATTTTATTTTCTAATGTATATATATTTAAGACCTATCTTGTTTTATTTCTGATATAAAGTAATTTAACTTCCGGCTTGAACAAAATAAATTGTTTTCGAAGTGAAAAAAAAAATCGGGTTGATCTTCGTTTCAAA